AAAGTAATCGAAATTTTGCGAGTTTCAACAATGATTGTATTGCAGGTTACATACATATCATTTAATATGTCAAAGAATTCTTATTAAAAACTTTCTAGATTTACCAAAGTTATCCAAATTAATTATGTTTTGGAGTAACGATCAAGATAATTTATCTAACTTGATTTAAATAACAATTATAAGAAAATTGTCTGAATTGTCTTTTTATGGTAATGGTGAAAATGTATCTGTTGAAGACTTTGTGACTTTCAATATTCTTCTTTAAATTACATTTGAATTAAAAGTAGTTTCTTCCATTGAGTTTTATGATAAGTTCTTTTTATTCAAAAGTATTAATTGTGTTTTCTTTTGTGTATTTCAGTTAAGTGACGACGTTTGCAAAAGTTTCTTATTGGTCGATTTAGCAACAACTATTAAGACCCCATTTGCAAAGAATCGCCTCAGCCTGTCGATGGTTGCTACTTAGAACAATAGGTGAGTCGTTGACTTGTACATTACCGTTCTTTTACTGTCTTTGGGTCATTTTTTTATTCAACATATAAAAAATCGTGGAAATGCAGAACTATTAATTTCTGTTTTCTTATTTTGTATTTCAGTTAAGTGGCGTATGTTTGCAAAAGATTCTCATTGGTTGATTCACCAACAATAATTAAGGGGGTGGAAGTACCCTATTTGCAAGGACTGCCTCACTTCGTCGATTGTTGCTACTTAAAGCAACAGGTGAGTCCTTGACTTGTACTTTAACGTACTTTTACTGACTTTGGGTCTTTTTTTTTAACTTAAAAAAAATAATTTAAATGCAAAAGTATTAATTTCTGTTTTCTTTTTTTGTGTTTCAGTTAAGTGGCGTCTGTTTGCAAAAGATTCTCATTGGTTGATTCACCAAAAACAATTAAGGGGGTGAAAGTACCCCATTTGCAAGGATCACTTCAGCTCGTCGATTGTTGCTGCTTAGAACAATAGGTGAGTCCTTGACTTGTACTTTAACGTACTTTTACTGTCTTTGGGTCTCTTTTTATTCAACTTAAAGAAAATCATGTAAATGCAAAAATATTAATTTCTGTTCTTTTTCTTTGTGTTTCAGTTAAGTGGCGTCTGTTTGCAAAAGATTCTCGTTAGCTGATTCACCAACAACAAATAAAGGGGTGAAAGTACCCCATTTGCAAGGATCGCTTGAGCTCGTCGATTGTTGCTGCTTAGAACAATAGGTGAGTCCTTGACTCTTACATTAATGTCATTTTACTGTCTTTTTTTCTTATTCAACTTAAAATAAATCTTGTAAATGTAAGAATATTAACTTGAGTTCTTTTTTTGTATTTCAGCGAAGTGACCCCTATACGAAACTTTCTCGTTGGTCGAGTTAGCAAGTATAATTAAGGAGATGAAAATACCCCATTTGCTAAGGGTCGTCTCGTTTCGTCGATTGTTACTGCTTAGAACAATAGGTGCGTTATTGATTTTTACATTAACATCCTTTTACTATCTTTGAATATTTATTTATAACTTAAAAAAAGGTTAGTTAATATTGTAATAATACTAATTTCTGTTTTCTTTTTTCTATTACAGTTAAGTGACGTCTGTTTGCAAAAGTTTGTGATTGGTCGATTTAATAACAATTATTAAGGTGATGTAAAAAACCCATTTGCAAAGGATCAGCTCACCTCGTCTTGCTTCTGCATAGAACAACAGGTGAGTTTTTGACTGTTGCTTTTCAGGTATTATTTGCGGTTTTGAACTTTTTTTGGAATAAATTAAAACAAAAGTAACGTTATCACCAATTTATGTTTAGCCAAACTAGACAATACTTTTCATCATATGTTACTATTATTAATAGTACCTAAAGCAATAGAATTTTAGTACACTTGGGTACTCTTGATAACAATATTGTTAAATTTGACTTAAGTAAATTGGTGATAACATCATTGTTGTTCTAATTTTTTCTAATTATACTGATGTGCTTCATAATAAATGCAGCTTAATTTGAATCAGAAATAAGACTTATCATTTACTTATAGATAGGTTTGGTTTACGTCAGTAGTTAAAATTTATCTGCAATTTGTAACTTCTAAAAGGGGCGCTAAGTTCAGAGGGTGCAGTTATGTTGACAATTTGTGACTTGTACAACATGTGTGTATGATGGCTTGCATATATCCATTTAAAATTGTAATAAATAAATAGATCCTTAAAAGGGAAGATGAATACACCTAAATTGACGCTAATAATACATTTTTCAAATTGGAGGAAAAGGGATTGAAAAAGTGTGAAATACAGCAATAGTGAAAATACATTAGCAACAATATAAACTGAAATTAGAGTCGTAGATGATAGTAACAACGCCTTCACTAAAACACTCAGTAGTCAAATATAGATGAGTTGTTGTCTGGGCTGATGAGCCGTGGTCTGTTGGGTTGTTTTCCCGACGTTTCATTCACAACTGTGGTGGACATTTTTTGAAGGCGTTGTTACTATCATCTACAAATGTAATTTGAGTTTATATTGTTGCTAATGTATTTTCACTATTGTTGTATTTCACACTTTTTCAATCCTTTTCCTTCAATTTGAAAAATGTATTGTTAACGCTAATTTAGGTGCATTCATCTTCCCTTTTAAGCATCTAATCAAATATGTATAATTTTATTACAATTTTAAATGTAAATATGCAACCCATCATACACACTTGTTATACACGTAGCTAACCGAACGAATTTCAACTAACCTGACTAAACTTTTAATTCATTCTTTGTATTAATATTATTGTTAAGTTGATACCGATTTTAGTTTTTATGCAAACTATATATTCAATCCTCATCAATTTTGTACATTTTTTTGTAGTTTTGAATAATGAATTGCAATTTTTTAATTGGTAAAGTGAGAATAAGGGAATTACCTTTTAATGTTTTAACAAGAGTTTGTTTGCATTCTACAAATGTTAAACTCTTGTTAAAACATTAAAAAACAATTATAATTTATTTTCAGTTTGCTTATTATTGTTTAACTTGCAAGTCAATGTTCGAAACTGTTGGAAAATTTATAAAATTATTGTTTAATACGTCGTCTGCATAAAAAGGGGAGGTATTTACTAAACTAAAGCCAGTAACAATTTAACAATAATTTAAATACAAACAAAGAATGGATCAACTATTTCAAGTGAGATTGATCGAAATTCGTTCGGTATATTATTTATATACAACATGTGTGCATGATGGGTTGCATACCTCCAATTAAAATTGTGTATCTTTTTAAACTGTTTCTTTAATTAGATACTAGTGTGGACGCACTAAAAACTATTTTGATTTAAATACAAAGTACCTTAAACTATTATCTGTAGTAAAGAGGGAATTGGGGCCAAACTGTAATTGGTTATTTAGTAATTTTATTTGTTAATATGACTTTCTGAATTTTTACGAATTCAAAGAGGACTAGTATCTTGCACCGTAGCAGGATATAGCAATTTAATGTTATTTTTTTTTGCAAGAATGGTTATTTGTTATATGTAAGGAGATTTCAATGTACGTATTCAATTTAATAAATAAATTCAGTGAGCATGCTTCTGGACTCTCTTCACATTTAATAAATAACAACCACTTTTGTAATAAAAATGACATTAAATTGTTACGCCAGCTGCCTGGGGGCAAAATATTAGACCTCTTTGAAATGTTACTAATTCAGAAAGTCATATCAACAAACAACAAAATTATTAAACGCCAAGTGCAATTTGTTCCCAGCCCCTTCATAGACTCTAATTAAATCAAAATTATTTTTAGATATTGTAGTAAGCTCGCACTCTTACTGATGCTCCACGAAGGCGATATGTGCATAGAATAAATAAATAAAAACATTGTAAAACATTTTCAAGTGTTTGTTTGCACCTATTCTTGTGGTTAGTCTATATATATGTTTCACCATGAACTATAGGCGAATTATATTTTATTGATGTGCCGATATAAATTGAAATAGTCTTTACTTTAAACGCATCTACAGATCGTGGAAATCTATCTATTACTATTCGTTTTGAAACAAATTGCGATCTTATCTTCTTATCTACAATTTGTAACTGTTGATGCTCTGCAAGGGGTTTGCACCCTGACATTTACATTAGTTCAGAATTAAATTTGGTTAACTAATTAAAATTAGTTAGAATCAAATATAAATCAAATTGCAATTGAAAGTTCCGGAAAGGGCGCAAGGTACGGGGAGTATAAGCAAACATTAGTAAAATTATTAAAGACATAAAAAGTCGTATGAAGTTGTGTAAACTTTTTGTGAAATTATTGATGCTATTTTTTAGATAAGTAACTATTAGAAATAGCTATTTCAAGCATTCTGTTAAGTGTTTTTAGTTTTGTTTAACTTTTTAAATTTATACATTTTGCCCTTTGACGCCACCTCGTGGTGTTTTATAACATCTACTCTTACATTAATGTCATTTTACTGTCTTTTTTTCTTATTCAACTTAAAATAAATCTTGTAAATGTAAGAATATTAACTTGAGTNGTTTTTATTTTAAATTTATTGCGGATGTTGCGCCATTTTTCATCGATTTTGATTGGTCGGTTTGACAGTGACGTAAATTTGTTAAAGTGTTGTTTATTTCGTTAATAATCGTACAATATGGACAAAACTTCGTTAACACTGTTTTTATTAGTTTATTTTTCGATTTTTTACTTAAAATTGTTAAAATTCGCTTTATTCTAGCATTTCAATAAATTGGCGTCTGTTTGCAAGTTTCTCATTGGTCGATTTAATAATAACCAAAAATGGGTATAAATACCCCTTCCACGAAAATCGTGTCATTTCGTCGGGGTACCTTGCAGCAACAACAGGTAAATTTTTTACTTTTGTTCTAATTAATTAGATATTATTTCCAGTAAATAGCTAAACTTAAACTTTTTCTTTAGACGATATGTTTATTTGGTTTAAATATCCATAATTTGCCTTTAATTTATTAAATTAAAAAGTAATCGAAATTTTGCGAGTTTCAACAATGATTGTATTGCAGGTTACATACATATCATTTAATATGTCAAAGAATTCTTATTAAAAACTTTCTAGATTTACCAAAGTTATCCAAATTAATTATGTTTTGGAGTAACGATCAAGATAATTTATCTAACTTGATTTAAATAACAATTATAAGAAAATTGTCTGAATTGTCTTTTTATGGTAATGGTGAAAATGTATCTGTTGAAGACTTTGTGACTTTCAATATTCTTCTTTAAATTACATTTGAATTAAAAGTAGTTTCTTCCATTGAGTTTTATGATAAGTTCTTTTTATTCAAAAGTATTAATTGTGTTTTCTTTTGTGTATTTCAGTTAAGTGACGACGTTTGCAAAAGTTTCTTATTGGTCGATTTAGCAACAACTATTAAGACCCCATTTGCAAAGAATCGCCTCAGCCTGTCGATGGTTGCTACTTAGAACAATAGGTGAGTCGTTGACTTGTACATTACCGTTCTTTTACTGTCTTTGGGTCATTTTTTTATTCAACATATAAAAAATCGTGGAAATGCAGAACTATTAATTTCTGTTTTCTTATTTTGTATTTCAGTTAAGTGGCGTATGTTTGCAAAAGATTCTCATTGGTTGATTCACCAACAATAATTAAGGGGGTGGAAGTACCCTATTTGCAAGGACTGCCTCACTTCGTCGATTGTTGCTACTTAAAGCAACAGGTGAGTCCTTGACTTGTACTTTAACGTACTTTTACTGACTTTGGGTCTTTTTTTTTAACTTAAAAAAAATAATTTAAATGCAAAAGTATTAATTTCTGTTTTCTTTTTTTGTGTTTCAGTTAAGTGGCGTCTGTTTGCAAAAGATTCTCATTGGTTGATTCACCAAAAACAATTAAGGGGGTGAAAGTACCCCATTTGCAAGGATCACTTCAGCTCGTCGATTGTTGCTGCTTAGAACAATAGGTGAGTCCTTGACTTGTACTTTAACGTACTTTTACTGTCTTTGGGTCTCTTTTTATTCAACTTAAAGAAAATCATGTAAATGCAAAAATATTAATTTCTGTTCTTTTTCTTTGTGTTTCAGTTAAGTGGCGTCTGTTTGCAAAAGATTCTCATTGGTTGATTCACCAAAAACAATTAAAGGGGTGAAAGTACCCCATTTGCAAGGATCGCCTGAGCTCGTCGATTGTTGCTGCTTAGAACAATAGGTGAGTCCTTGACTTGTACTTTAACGTACTTTTACTGACTTTGGGTCTTTTTTTATTCAATTTAAAAAAAAATCATGTAAATGCAAAAATATTAATTTCTGTTCTTTTTCTTTGTGTTTCAGTTAAGTGGCGTCTGTTTGCAAAAGATTCTCATTGGTTGATTCACCAAAAACAATTAAAGGGGTGAAAGTACCCCATTTGCAAGGATCGCCTGAGCTCGTCGATTGTTGCTGCTTAGAACAATAGGTGAGTCCTTGACTTGTACTTTAACGTACTTTTACTGACTTTGGGTCTTTTTTTATTCAATTTAAAAAAAAATCATGTAAATGCAAAAATATTAATTTCTGTTCTTTTTCTTTGTGTTTCAGTTAAGTGGCGTCTGTTTGCAAAAGATTCTCATTGGTTGATTCACCAAAAACAATTAAAGGGGTGAAAGTACCCCATTTGCAAGGATCGCCTGAGCTCGTCGATTGTTGCTGCTTAGAACAATAGGTGAGTCCTTGACTTGTACTTTAACGTACTTTTACTGACTTTGGGTCTTTTTTTATTCAATTTAAAAAAAAATCATGTAAATGCAAAAATATTAATTTCTGTTCTTTTTCTTTGTGTTTCAGTTAAGTGGCGTCTGTTTGCAAAAGATTCTCATTGGTTGATTCACCAAAAACAATTAAAGGGGTGAAAGTACCCCATTTGCAAGGATCGCCTGAGCTCGTCGATTGTTGCTGCTTAGAACAATAGGTGAGTCCTTGACTTGTACTTTAACGTACTTTTACTGACTTTGGGTCTTTTTTTATTCAATTTAAAAAAAAATCATGTAAATGCAAAAATATTAATTTCTGTTCTTTTTCTTTGTGTTTCAGTTAAGTGGCGTCTGTTTGCAAAAGATTCTCATTGGTTGATTCACCAAAAACAATTAAAGGGGTGAAAGTACCCCATTTGCAAGGATCGCCTGAGCTCGTCGATTGTTGCTGCTTAGAACAATAGGTGAGTCCTTGACTTGTACTTTAACGTACTTTTACTGACTTTGGGTCTTTTTTTATTCAATTTAAAAAAAAATCATGTAAATGCAAAAATATTAATTTCTGTTCTTTTTCTTTGTGTTTCAGTTAAGTGGCGTCTGTTTGCAAAAGATTCTCATTGGTTGATTCACCAAAAACAATTAAAGGGGTGAAAGTACCCCATTTGCAAGGATCGCCTGAGCTCGTCGATTGTTGCTGCTTAGAACAATAGGTGAGTCCTTGACTTGTACTTTAACGTACTTTTACTGACTTTGGGTCTTTTTTTATTCAATTTAAAAAAAAATCATGTAAATGCAAAAATATTAATTTCTGTTCTTTTTCTTTGTGTTTCAGTTAAGTGGCGTCTGTTTGCAAAAGATTCTCATTGGTTGATTCACCAAAAACAATTAAAGGGGTGAAAGTACCCCATTTGCAAGGATCGCCTGAGCTCGTCGATTGTTGCTGCTTAGAACAATAGGTGAGTCCTTGACTTGTACTTTAACGTACTTTTACTGACTTTGGGTCTTTTTTTATTCAATTTAAAAAAAAATCATGTAAATGCAAAAATATTAATTTCTGTTCTTTTTCTTTGTGTTTCAGTTAAGTGGCGTCTGTTTGCAAAAGATTCTCATTGGTTGATTCACCAAAAACAATTAAAGGGGTGAAAGTACCCCATTTGCAAGGATCGCCTGAGCTCGTCGATTGTTGCTGCTTAGAACAATAGGTGAGTCCTTGACTTGTACTTTAACGTACTTTTACTGACTTTGGGTCTTTTTTTATTCAATTTAAAAAAAAATCATGTAAATGCAAAAATATTAATTTCTGTTCTTTTTCTTTGTGTTTCAGTTAAGTGGCGTCTGTTTGCAAAAGATTCTCATTGGTTGATTCACCAAAAACAATTAAAGGGGTGAAAGTACCCCATTTGCAAGGATCGCCTGAGCTCGTCGATTGTTGCTGCTTAGAACAATAGGTGAGTCCTTGACTTGTACTTTAACGTACTTTTACTGACTTTGGGTCTTTTTTTATTCAATTTAAAAAAAAATCATGTAAATGCAAAAATATTAATTTCTGTTCTTTTTCTTTGTGTTTCAGTTAAGTGGCGTCTGTTTGCAAAAGATTCTCATTGGTTGATTCACCAAAAACAATTAAAGGGGTGAAAGTACCCCATTTGCAAGGATCGCCTGAGCTCGTCGATTGTTGCTGCTTAGAACAATAGGTGAGTCCTTGACTTGTACTTTAACGTACTTTTACTGACTTTGGGTCTTTTTTTATTCAATTTAAAAAAAAATCATGTAAATGCAAAAATATTAATTTCTGTTCTTTTTCTTTGTGTTTCAGTTAAGTGGCGTCTGTTTGCAAAAGATTCTCATTGGTTGATTCACCAAAAACAATTAAAGGGGTGAAAGTACCCCATTTGCAAGGATCGCCTGAGCTCGTCGATTGTTGCTGCTTAGAACAATAGGTGAGTCCTTGACTTGTACTTTAACGTACTTTTACTGACTTTGGGTCTTTTTTTATTCAATTTAAAAAAAAATCATGTAAATGCAAAAATATTAATTTCTGTTCTTTTTCTTTGTGTTTCAGTTAAGTGGCGTCTGTTTGCAAAAGATTCTCATTGGTTGATTCACCAAAAACAATTAAAGGGGTGAAAGTACCCCATTTGCAAGGATCGCCTGAGCTCGTCGATTGTTGCTGCTTAGAACAATAGGTGAGTCCTTGACTTGTACTTTAACGTACTTTTACTGACTTTGGGTCTTTTTTTATTCAATTTAAAAAAAAATCATGTAAATGCAAAAATATTAATTTCTGTTCTTTTTCTTTGTGTTTCAGTTAAGTGGCGTCTGTTTGCAAAAGATTCTCATTGGTTGATTCACCAAAAACAATTAAAGGGGTGAAAGTACCCCATTTGCAAGGATCGCCTGAGCTCGTCGATTGTTGCTGCTTAGAACAATAGGTGAGTCCTTGACTTGTACTTTAACGTACTTTTACTGACTTTGGGTCTTTTTTTATTCAATTTAAAAAAAAATCATGTAAATGCAAAAATATTAATTTCTGTTCTTTTTCTTTGTGTTTCAGTTAAGTGGCGTCTGTTTGCAAAAGATTCTCATTGGTTGATTCACCAAAAACAATTAAAGGGGTGAAAGTACCCCATTTGCAAGGATCGCCTGAGCTCGTCGATTGTTGCTGCTTAGAACAATAGGTGAGTCCTTGACTTGTACTTTAACGTACTTTTACTGACTTTGGGTCTTTTTTTATTCAATTTAAAAAAAAATCATGTAAATGCAAAAATATTAATTTCTGTTCTTTTTCTTTGTGTTTCAGTTAAGTGGCGTCTGTTTGCAAAAGATTCTCATTGGTTGATTCACCAAAAACAATTAAAGGGGTGAAAGTACCCCATTTGCAAGGATCGCCTGAGCTCGTCGATTGTTGCTGCTTAGAACAATAGGTGAGTCCTTGACTTGTACTTTAACGTACTTTTACTGACTTTGGGTCTTTTTTTATTCAATTTAAAAAAAAATCATGTAAATGCAAAAATATTAATTTCTGTTCTTTTTCTTTGTGTTTCAGTTAAGTGGCGTCTGTTTGCAAAAGATTCTCATTGGTTGATTCACCAAAAACAATTAAAGGGGTGAAAGTACCCCATTTGCAAGGATCGCCTGAGCTCGTCGATTGTTGCTGCTTAGAACAATAGGTGAGTCCTTGACTTGTACTTTAACGTACTTTTACTGACTTTGGGTCTTTTTTTATTCAATTTAAAAAAAAATCATGTAAATGCAAAAATATTAATTTCTGTTCTTTTTCTTTGTGTTTCAGTTAAGTGGCGTCTGTTTGCAAAAGATTCTCATTGGTTGATTCACCAAAAACAATTAAAGGGGTGAAAGTACCCCATTTGCAAGGATCGCCTGAGCTCGTCGATTGTTGCTGCTTAGAACAATAGGTGAGTCCTTGACTTGTACTTTAACGTACTTTTACTGACTTTGGGTCTTTTTTTATTCAATTTAAAAAAAAATCATGTAAATGCAAAAATATTAATTTCTGTTCTTTTTCTTTGTGTTTCAGTTAAGTGGCGTCTGTTTGCAAAAGATTCTCATTGGTTGATTCACCAAAANAAATATTATCGTCTGAACTCATCGGTTGAGAATAAACAATTCCATCGATTGTAGTATAATTGCCATTTTATAATGTTTTATCATTATCAATATTTTCTGTTCTGACTGTTGCTATTCTCTGAAATGTAAATATTGAACATCATTTTCATAATAATCAGCTACTGATTAAAATATTTTTCATTCTGAAAGAAAAAACTTTTATGTGCACCCCTACTCATAACTACTCTGATCGATGCATGGCCAACGACTGTTGACAATTTCACCTGCAGCCTGCCCTGCCCTGCCTATTTCGACCATGCGACTCCTACGGTCGCAGTTAGAACTGAGCATTCTACTGCGACACCAAATCGCCCTGATGTGGCCTTCTGTGGATCTGTATTCTTTGGTATTATGACATACTGTAAAGATGAGGCTACTCGTCGATAGAGGTCGCCCGGTGACGCGTTCCCTATTTAAAATATTACAAATTCTTCAAAGGACAAGGAATATATACAGGGTGTCTCTTGACACTAATTTGATAAAGCATTGAAATCGAAAATTCTACATAATAACATTAAAAATACAGATAAACAAAACAACAAAATTGCTTTTAATGTTCGTATAAACAGTTGGTGAAATTAAAAGTATTTTTGTTGTTTCATTTATTTAAACGCCAATCAACGTAATTGTTACTGGTTAAATTAGAGAGAGCACAAACATGAAAAGGACAATGCAGCCTGGTCTTTGCAATGACGACATTTGGTTTATGGCAGTTATGGTAACAGTCAATCAATTTAAATGGATTAAGGGATTGAAAAAACCAAAAAATACCAATTTTTCCATAACAATTATTTTGACATTGGTATAGCCCGTCCAAATTTGGACGAATGGTGTCGTTGTCGACTAACTTACGTTTTAACCTTGGCGTTTTTTCATACCGTAGCCATGGTAAGTCAGTCGACAACGGCACCATTCGTCCAAATTTGAACGGGTTATACCAGTGCCATAATAATTTTAAGGAAAAATTGGTATTTTTTGGCTTTTTAATCCCTTAATCCATATTAAATGGATTGACTGTACCATAACTGCCATAAACCAAAAGTCGTCATTGCAAAGACCAGTGGCTACATTGTCCTTTTCATGTTTGTGTTCTCTCTAATTTTTGGACTAGATTTGCACAAATAATGATAAAATTATTTAATGGTTGGGTAATTCCACTCCTGTTTCCTGTTGGTATACGCATTTAAAATGGTCATTATCACTTTCTGAATCGTTTTCCTGTATTTTATTACTCGAAAGGCTTGTCTGATTTCAATTGAAATTATTACTTCACGAACTTTAAATCTGTTATTGACCACACGGTATTTAGTTAGCAGGGACGACCGCTATTTTGATAATTTTAAACTTGACGATACGGAACAATAGTTCTGCTAGACCAATATTGAAAACCATTCTTCGATCATGTGTGTTAGGTAATGGTATTGCCTGAAGGTAGCGCCTAATTACAGAGTTGGTTCGTTAATTGAATATTATCAGAGAGCGGTGTCCGCAGGGCTCTACCGTTAATAATTTTCAGAATGGTCAGAGACAATCGGCTCAACAAGCGTAGGGGTCGTGCGTGCGTGAAAATTGTATCTCTGTCAAGGGTAATAATCTACTCTGTTTGCGGTCAGGGCATTAGGGCTTTTTTGCGTATGAGAACCACCTCTGTTTCCCCACTGCTGCCCCAATGGATAAATTGTGTTATCTGATGGAATGGGGGGGTTTATAAAGGCGAATAATAATTTATTTCAGTAAAATAAAAGCAAACACTTGGAAGTTTCGCCATTTACTTTAACTGTTTGCATCTGTAAATTATCGTACAACATTAAAGTAGTTTCTCATTTTCAATTTTTAGCGGTCTTTATCTCACCAGTCTTCATCCTGTAGGTTTCGATCTCCTTTTTTTCTTTGTGAGGGTATTCACCGAAGTAATATAACAATACCATTTTAAGTTTTCTAATTCAATGATGTCAACTATAGTTGTCGGTATATTTATTATATCGCGGACTTCCTTGTTTCTTACCTTATTCATTAATCAGAGTTTCCAAAAATCCATCTCCGCTTCCAACAGTCTTTTCTTCAGTTGTTCGGTTCCCAAATTCCCACACCTCAACCCCATAGGTCATGATCGAAATTTTATTTATGGTCTAATCTATATAATCCATAATACTCCATGAAACTGTTGATTCATCCCTGAAAATACTTAAATTGAACCTAGGTTCATATACTTCTCTACCTTCATCATCTATCTGCTCTGCAGAGTGTCTTGTTAAGGGAAATATTTTCGAACCAAGTAGTGCTTCGAACTTTTTTGGCATCATCTTTTACTAGAATTTTTAACTTTACTGAAGCTTTTCCGTGAATAGGGGTGTTGGCCTTACGTCACAATCACCAACCTGAAGGGCTAGATTATTTTTTTAAGACTTATTTCCTTTAGACTGAACGTCTTTCGGGACCTTAGAGATCCTCCCTAGTACAACAGGTTCTTCCGCTTTTAAGGACCATTGGATATACTTCTGTAACCGTTGACCCATTTGCACCTGTAACCCTAAGCAGGGTGCTATCAGCTGGGCTAACTGTACCCTGTGTTTTTACTAGGTTGTTACTCCTCCCTTTCTCATACCTTATATGACGGGACTCCAAGTTTAGGACTGGCATAGCGGAGTTAAAAAAATGCCCTTTTAATGCACCTTTTTCGAATGTAGAATTGTTCGAGCTGTACATTTTAGCTAATACAGCTGGTGCAATTTGATATTTTGGAAAGGTATTTAGTGGGCATTGTTTTAACTTATCAGAAGTCGAAAAAAAAATTATAAATTCGCGTTGCTATCTACGTCTTACTAAAAATGTTTTTATGTTTACCTTTGGAACATTTACAAGGTGTCTTTTATTGATACCATAACCGGCTCGTTAATCACATAGATCGAGTTGGGAGCTTCGGGGCTCCGGTAGCACCGAACATGAGGAAGACCCGGTATGGTAATATGTAACCAGATCTTATCTTGTTCGTATCTCCGAACCCACGCAGCCAACACACCTGAAACGGCGGACGTTATAGGTATACCTTTCGCTTAAAACCCTGAAGGTTCTCAAACGTACACTCCTGGCCGTTGTACCACTGGCAACAGATCATATTGTAAAAGATCTGATATACAGTAACGTTAGTTAAAAATGGACCTCAAAATCAGGATGCACTCATACAGGTATATATCAACTCATGGCCAAGTTCGTGGGACAAAACAGAATTTTATTGTTTTTCTTTCCTGCATTGCGCATTAAAGAATGACTGTTTTTAACCCCTAATTGACATTATTGGATAATTCGTTTTCCGGCTCACTGATTCCACAAATGTCATCCCCGTTTAGCCAGACCGTTATTCAACAGTACCTACTTCCTCAGGTTTTTTAAAAATTCGAATTGTTTGGCCTGAATCAAGCGATTTTTTCTACTCTATTCATTTTTAATTAGCGTTACTGTACTTTATCTACTTGCTACCTACAGCAACAAATTGCGGCTTCCGATGGTGAGGCTGCCGGTGAGATAACGTCTACGCCAGGAAAAACGAAACCGTGTACGCAATTAGTGTTGCCGCGTAACAAATTAAATTTATAGGTCCTTCCGACGTATGTATTTTTTAAAAGTTCTCGGACTTATTTCGACAATTAATTAAACCGCCACACCGAAGTCGCGCTCAAATGGAATGTCGTCCGGCTAGGTCCTGCGTTAGATGAATGATTCTCTCTTATTCATTTTTTCTAGCTTCGAAACTTACTGGCAAATGTATCAAATAAATCAATTAATAAGGGTTATACAAACAGTTTGACGTATAAACCCACTTTCCTATATTACTATATAATAATACTGGAGATTCAGTTAGCCGTTAAAAAAAAGGTCGAAAATTACATTTTTCGGTTAAAGACTGCAGAGAAAACGACAGAAGTAATACGAAATGCCGTAAAGGTTAAAAGACATTAAGGGGTTTAGCAAATGAAAACCTCAAAAAGTCCCTTCTATCTTACAATCAAATAGTGTGCATCTATCTTTGCTAATAATACAATATTCTGGAACTTTAGTTGACCTTTAAAACGTCTAATAAAAGGGTGCGTTATACTATGCATTATGTCTGTAGCGCTTTTTAATTAATTCTAATTAATTGATTAATTATTCGGTGTCCTTTCCTTTATAATCGCTCCCTTTAATCGAATGCTTGATTCATGATCAGTGAACGTCAACAACGAGATCACTGATCACTCTCAAATTTCAGTGTGATTGACTGATTTGTTTTGTTTTAGGTCTTTTTATTTTAGTTCAATTCAAGTTTGTTATGTATTGGAATCGTTAAGGTGTCCTTTAATAAAATTTTTGCGAGAAGTGTATATAATATATGATAAATAATGATGAAATTGTATGGTTAATGGTTCTGCTTCCAACTCGCTTGATATGATATCTACCCAACCCTATTCATCGTGGAGAGGATGAGGACCCTGGACATCCGACGCTGGACAGATAAAGGTTTCGGTGAACCCTACTAAGGTCTAGCCGACGCCTAAAAGTAAGTCACTAACGAATATTGTTTCAAATAGACCTGAGTGACAAGTTTTTTATATTTCCATTTCTATTTATATATTTGATTTTTTGATTTTTATTATTTTGGGGCTAATTTGATTTTTGTGCCCAATAAGGTAAGTTACAAACTGTAA